GAATTGGGAGAATGGCACTGGGGAAGAATTAAACCTTTTCTCACCTACTTTCTCATTTACCAGACTGAGATAACGACAGGGGCATGCATCCCTGTTTTTATCAGACAGAACCTGGAGGGTAGATGGGATCTTACCATGCAGCTGTCATCTAGTCAAGGCAGTCCTGCTTCTGGTATTATTGCTAACATATTTGAAAGGGCACCTATTTTTATTTTAAGGCTTCGTTATACAGTTATAAACTGCACTTATTAGGAAAGAATTTAAGTATGTCACTATATTTGCATGATCACTTAGATCCAAATTACATGTAAAACATTTGGACCATTTCCTCATTAGTTCCTTTGAGCAAAAATGTAGCTGTGCTATTCCCTTGTCACAATGTCTTCACCATTTATATCTGAGTACAACTGAATATCAGTTGACATTTCAGGAATTCTTTAAGCAATTCATCTTTAAGTTGAGAGATACTGTTGAAGTTGCTTGAAACTGCACTATTTTTCTATGATTTGTAGGTTTGTTGTGGCTTGTCTGATCTATTGATTATCTAATTGGGAGAGTTCTGTGCTTTGTCTTCTTCAATTAAATAACTGAAATTGTGATGGGACCTTGTGTTCTGTGATGGGCATATTTTGCAAAATCATATTTACAAGGGCTTTGGGAAAGTATAGTACAGAGCTTGAACATTGACAGGTTTTCTTTCCAAAGGGTGAATAAAGCTGTAATGAAGGATTTTTCTGGTTGTTTGATATTCTACTCTGTACATAAACATGGCACAGCAAAATTTGTGAATGCGGATATAAAATTTGGCAACACATTTTCATAAGTATGACTGCTTAGTGATTTTTAAGGAAAAGGAGCCCAGGTTCTAACCCAGCAAAAAAAGAAATTGCCTCATACCAAATCAGATCATTAGTCCAACTAGCAGAATACTTGTCCATCAAGTAATTCTTCAGAATTTCAGGGTGGAGTTTCAGCACTATCTAGGCTAGCCTGGAAAACAGGAGTGGTTTGCTTGTGGCCAAAAGCCCTCTCTCTTCTCTGAGGAGCATTCTGCACGTGGAGAGGAGGGGGAAGTGTTTTTGCGGGGGAGATGGAGAGAAATGGACCTACTTGGCTCAGATTTGAACTCATTTTATTTTCACATTGATTAGTAGCCACTTTTTCATCAGCTAATCTTTTGCATGATTGCTCATATGCTCTTAAAACCGTAAACTTTGTGTCGATAATAATAATAATAATAATTAATACCTGATGGTATAAAATAATAAATCTGAATTTTCTGATAGTTCTGCTGATTGAGCAGCCTGGGCATCACGTTTAATAAGATAAATAGACCTGACCTTTATTAATTGTATATTATTGGTCTACCCCTTCTTTTTCAATGGGCAAATCAGCAATCTAGACTGTAACTTTTCACCTTCAGCTAAAATTCTCAGCCAGGTGTTGACAATCTATTGCTTTAAAGTCTAAACAGTGACTGATACAATGGACTAGGTGAAAGAAAATAAATTAACATTGCTCCTGATCAGCCAAAGGACAGATCAAGGAATAATAAACTATGTTGTTTTCTGTCTACATTCAATACACATCAATGCAGCCTGTAGTTAACTTATTCCCAGTCTTTTCTCCATAAATCTCTGTATTTTATTGGGTTTATCCACAAAGGGCAGTTCTGCAATGCAGCCTAAGCTGCTTGTCAACCATGCTGCTCTCATCTGTTTCTTAAGTTCAGAAATTCCAGTCTGGATTGGAGTGGATTGGCAATGGGGCTAGGCTGATGCTCAGTCTGGACATGGCTACCGCAAGACCTTATTGGTCATTTCTCTGCTTCTTGCCCTTCCCATCCCTGTAGTCTGACCAGTGCAGCATAGAGTGGAATTATTGGTTCCAGTGTTCTTGACACTATACCTCTGTTCATGCAGCCCAGGATTGCATTGGTATTTTTGGCAGCTATGGTATAATTTGTGTGACTCCTTTGACACTAACATAGACCCTGTTTCTCCCCCTCCCTTTTTTTTTTCTGATGGTGCTATTGTAATTCTGGTGCTACAATAATCAAGGCAATAGGCAATAGGCAGTTCTTTCAGTCTATACCAAGAAAGCATAGAAACTATGTAGCAATGTTCCAAAATTGCAATTTAAGATTTAAAAAAAATAAAGGGAAGCTGCAGTACTGGAGGGGAAGTAGAAGGGGGGAAGTAAGGGGGGTCAAGTGGAAAAGGTCCCCACTGGGAGATGTAAGGGTTGAATGGAGCATGACCTCCCAGGGCTGAGGATAGTGCATGGACTTAATGGGCTATCACTGGATCAGTTGCAAGATTATATATATATAT